TTGGCAACTACATCAGCCAGTTCCCTCAGGACTCTGGGATGCATCTCATCAGGTCCCATGGACTTCTGTACATTTTCAAGATACCTTGATTGTTAATAGTAGAATACATTGATTACAGTGTGACTGAGTAGTATTCCACCATCTCTACTAATTGTGAAGACAGTTTTATGGATTATACCCTTCTCATAATTGCTTTTGGCTTCGTATTTAAATTTTAACATTTGAAAGTATTGGTCTAAATTGTTTTCCCAATGTGTCATTCAGTCCACATACGGGCCTAAAATGTGAGTCTAGGAAAATGCAGCCAAAAATTAACAAAGATTTTACTGCCAGACTTGAATCTTTATGGGAACTACGGGCAATCTCTGCATCTTTCAAAAAATTCCACTCTGGACTTTTCAGTAATTCAACAAAATGAAAAACACGATACTTAATTTTAATGCAAATTAATAACAATTTCTGTAAGTATAACAAACCATTTCAAAGACTTTAAATTGCTATTCAGCCTGGACACTGACATGATAAAAGTCTAATTGATTTTGTCTGAAACTAGATTTTTGTCTTGTGTTTAAATGTGTTCTTCCTCCACCCATAATCAATTAAAGGTATCCAGGTATGGCTAGGAGAGATTTGTTGCCAAATCACTCCAAATTTTAAAAATGAATTAACATTTGAAAAATTACTTGGTAGATAGTCAGGTTGTTTTGTGTGCAACAGGAAGTAGTAAGCAGCTAAAAAAAGAGTGTTTTATCAAGACTGTAAACTTTCAAAGCTGATGGACCCTTGTGTTTTCATTCTTATTTCTGGATGTCTGCATAGCACCCTATTAATAATATAGTAAATTAAGGACACACTGCAAACTCTTACTCATATAAGCCCTCCATTTTGGTCACAATTTAAACTAAGAAATCATATTAAAGAAATGTTCTTCAAAACCAAGGGGTCGTTTGGGCTTCATAACTGGGCCCGTAATCTTTGGCCGCAGAGGTATACCGCAGCATACCAGGGCGAGTGCCTGTGGCATGGGCATCGCCAGCTCTGTTTCTTTCTCTGGCTGGTCAGACAGCCCTGGCACATTTAAGATAAAGAAGGTTAAAATATCGCTTTTTATCCTTTTTGTCCACATAGTGATAATTACTTGTTTCATGAAGAAAGGAAGTCAAGTTAAGTTTTAGGCCAGTTATGAAAGTTTATGTGATGGACAGTGCGGCTGATGTTGTATGATTAAGAACTACAGATACTCATTAAATTATGAGATAATCTGCCATATATTGTTATGTACTAAAATAAGATACAGTGCCCTAAAAAAGAGTTGTGGAAGTTGTGGCACTTCTGGAGAAGCCAGGAAAACTTTCACTATGATTCCCTTTTAAAAGTTAGAGGCTCTGCTTCTGTCTGAGCCTCAGACTGCTGGAGAGCAAGGAGGACATCTGGGGTCATCACATTCCCTTTTTTCCATGCTAGCTTAAACTGGAGCAGTTGTTCCCAAGCCTTTTAAAGCTAAACCTAATTTGAAAAAGAATGGTAATCCTCTGTGACTTCTCACGCTCTTGCCCCACAACTGCTGGTGCAGGGAGCCGTGCTGCTCTGCCCTCATTTCTGAGCCGTGGGCTTGTTTGTGTTCTCTCTTGGCTCAGCCCATGCACCATCTCAGGATAGCTGCCGCCTCCTCCCTTGGGCAGCTCGGAGACCAAGCTAGAGCTGCCTTTGTGGCTCTTGGCGGACTATCATTCTCCCGTGGGGCTGACAAACTAGACCAGGCTGCAAAATAAACCAAGCCACAATGCCTACCGGTGTGAGTTCTTTGCTTTATCTTGCTCTGCTCCTAATGTGAGTTAAAGCAACTTCCAGGTTACTTTAGTTAATACTGAGACACGCAATCTGGTCCTGCACAGACCAGCATCGGTTTGGCACGTGGGCTCGGTGGCAACAGGCTCCAGCCGTACCAGTAAGGCACACCTCAGAAACATCTAAGTAGGGAATTTCAGGGATGAGAGGAGAAAACAACTGCAGGGGTGTATGAGGAGAGCCCTTATGTCTCACCCTGTTGCCTTTCTGTCCATTAGAATTTCTCTTCTTAGGTCTTTTTCCTGCTAGGCTTAGATACCAAGGCCGACATCACTGATATCCAGGCAGTTACGCCTACTTGTTGCAAAGTAAATTTTGCCGAAGGGATTTTAACAGATTCCAATTTCAAA